CTTATTTAATAAAAATGGAACTCGTACACTTACTTATTTGTTCATTGGTCATTTACAAAATTATTTTGTTAAAACACATTCTAATTGCACACGCAAATATTCTGAAGTTGACATCAAAGAGATGCTTGAGTTTCCATTCTCATTGACAATATCTATGTGGCTTTTGGAGACATATTCCAATATATTCCAACAATATTTTGGAATTCCCATGGGTACCAATTGCGCTCCGATATTAGCAGACATACATTTATATTCATATGAAACAGAATTTGTACAAAATCTTATAAGTGAAAAGAAGAAAACACCTGCTGTGGACTTCAACTCGACATTTGGATATATCATTGACGTACTGTCGATTAACAATGGTAATTTCCATTCCTATGTCGAAAAGATATATCCTGGTGAGCTTGAGATAAAAGATACCATAGAGTCTGACACAACTGTTTTATACTTGGATATTTTACTTTAAAAAGACGTTAATGATAAACTAACAACCAAGCTTTTTAATAAACGTAATCCACCAATATATCTTCATCAACTGCATAAGGAGTATATATATCTCAGTTGATTCTACGTATAAACAATTTCTTAAACGAGGTAAGTTATTAACAAACAAGTTGATGAAACAAGAATATCAGCAGTCTCGTTTAAAATAATCATTTTGTAAGTTCTATAGTCGATACAATGACCTTGCCAGCAAATACAATTTATCATTGAATCAAATGCTTACTAACGTTTTTCATACTAATTCTTTGTCTTTTATTTTAACATTGAATTGACAACGGTTTTTCCGTTATTACCTGATCATGGCAAAGAGCACACGGCAGGTGTCACCGGTCAGCAGCTGATCCCAACTTTGATGTTTCGGTGGTCCGTGCTTGATCTGCTCCAATTTTGTATTATTTAAAGGACTTTGAGATTGAATACTATACACTTATGGACTCTTTTGGTGTTGAATATGGTTTGTTATTCACCAGAAAAATATTCATATTGACTGAGGCGAAGCATATTCAACACCAAAAGAATCCATAATTGTTTTATTATATAGTCGTGATTTGAATAGATAAGACATTGCAGGCTGTTTGACGCCACCATTTTCATTTGCGATATTCCATTGTTGAAAATAAAAAAAAACATCTCCAGATTACTGTTTGTAACCTCCGTGATTTCCTTTCCGAGTTTCGCTGTGTGTAAGACGTCCAAATGTTAAAAATAATCCTGAAAAAGGTTTGAATGATCGTTCTAAGATACGTAGCTCGCTGCGGCCGTTGCAACCATTGTTTACAACGTTGGTTGATGTTTTGATTGTGACGTCACAATGCCGCTGCATGCGCATTGACCCTCCAGTGAATACGGCCTAAAATCCGGTGAATATGTAGTGTTATGAACTGTTTGCGTTTGTATAGATTATATAGGGACTATAAATAGACTGTATAATAATGTTCGTTATCTCCATATCCTTCTTCAATCACTATTGAAAATGTTAATTTAATAGTGGACATCATTTCAATAGTAGCTGAGGCTTGTTTTATGTTCTTAATGCAATCAGAACTTCTACTGAAATCTTTATTTCAAAAGTAAACATTATTTCACTAGTGGTTGCAACTTATATTTGTGTAGTTGTCATTTAAATGCACTCTCAACCAATACTGAAATAATTATTTCAATAGTGACCGTATTTCAATAGTGGTTGCAACAGACAATGTTCTTACCTGATTTGTCAGCAGGCAAAAGTATCATGTAATCTATTAATTATTCTTTCACTTCTGTATTATTTTATGTCAACGTCTTCTATTTCGTATCTGGCCCATTGAATAGGCGTAATCTTCAACAGAATCCAAATAACTAACGAAAATCCGACGGCAACGCAGCTAGGATAAGGCTGCCCGTAAAATATCAAAAAGTTCAAATTGTAGTAACTTCTCTGTGCTACCAAGATATGACGTCATAATAGAATATGACGTCAAGTCACTGCATACTTGAGTGTCATAATTGTTACACGGCATGTAGATTTATTCTGGAGACTTGTTGTTTAATTCAAATGTAAGGTTTGTTTTTTAAGCTTGTGTGTGTTGTTATAATGTTTAACATTTGATATTTCAATATCTCTATTCCTTTTGCTTGTCCGATATGCATATATTCAAGCAATAGCAAAATATTATGTTTGAAACGCTCCCCTTACACTTCCGTAGACAGAGTTAGAATTTATGAATCGTGTTTATATTGGACTGGCACAAGTGAAAGACGAGGATAAATTTAAGATATTTTGCGTGAATCTAAAAGAGAAGTAGGTCTTGTAACTGAACTTTGCTGGGGGATCGTATGTATTTTATCCGCTTTTGTACAAATCGCGATAATGAGTGGAAAATACCCCTTCTTACGTTGGTAATTTTAATTTATCGTAAACTATTTTCTTAAGAAGAAAAAATTAAACCTGCCCCCAGCACTTTTTAAGTACCATGGATCACGATGAATTGATCTATATAACAAACTTTGCACAATAATTGTGTTATGCACTTGTGCCGATGCGATTTTTGTGCAACATTTAAGAATATCAAAAATGTCCGTCACGTGATCAACACAGTCATCTGACAACACAGAAATGCTTTATTATAATACCTGATTAAACTGTTATCTCAAGTTGACTACAATTTCAAACAAGGATAACATATTGAAATTAAAATCTAGCTCAAAATAAAATGTATGTTTTAAGACATTTTAAGCCTTCGGACAGCCTTATCATAACTGCGAATTGAAAGATTGCGATTCCCTATATTAAGGACCTGTAGCTCGGTGCTGATATTGTAGATAATGATTTCGAAGATAACCTACACCTATTTAAAAGTCGTGTTCAACTTTAATTGGACTTAATGTATGCTAATTATTCTTAATCTTTACATTTTATTCAACTAAGGTCCAGATATTTATGCTGATTTTACTGATGTCTTTAAAACTTTGTTAAAAGATGATGGCCTAATACATTGAGACAGCATATTGTACTTTTTATTATATTTTTTCACGTTTTTATAAATTGTTCTTCAATGTTTTCAATGTCCACGGCTCCGTGGTCTGTCAGACAATGCACATGATTTTTCCAAGTAAAAATATGCAGAGATTAAGTTTCACTTTAAAAAGATATGTAGATTGAAACGTCTTTCTTACAAAGAAAATAAACCCTCTAAATCTTAATGATGTACAATTATGTGCACCTATCAGTTTTTGAATAGAATATTAAAGACACTAATGGTAATATAACAACCAAGCTATATGATAAACGTGATGACTTTAAGTTTTCTATCGTCAACTTCCCTTACTTATGCAGCAATATACCTTCATCACCTGCATACGGAGTATACATATCTCAGTTGATTCGATACGCAAGAGCGTGCTCTACGAATGAACAATTTCTTAAACGAGGTAAATTATTGACAAGCAAGTTGATGAAACAAGAATATCAACAGTCTCGTTTAAAGTCATCATTTCGTAAATTCTATGGTCGATACAATGACCTTGTCAGCAAATACAATTTATCATTGAGTCATATGCTGACTGACGTTTTTCATACTAATTGTTAGTCCATTATTTATACACTGAATTGACGACGAATTTTTACCGTTATTTCCTGATCATGAGAACGAGCACACGGCGGGTGTGACCGGTTGGCAGGGGATGCTCACTCCTCCATGGCACCTGATCCCACCTCTGATGTTTCAAAGGTCCGTGTTTGCTCTGCTCTTATTTTGTATATTGTTTAATGGACTTTGAGATTGAATACTGTTCGTTATCTCCATATCCTTCTTGAATAGTTTGTTAAATGTGCATTGTTTAACTTTAATACGTCATGATAATTCAATTGTAATAAATAATTTTGAAGTTTGAGATGCAGGCAATTTTTTTTAACAAAAACTGATGAGTGATATATTTATACCTATTCAGTATTTTTTTTTTTCAATCTGTGAAATAAATAATGATGTGACATACATTTGTACATTTACCCTCCCCTCCTGTAAATAAAGTAAATGGCTAAGTTCTTCTTTAATTTTTGCATGCTGCTAATCACTGATATATAGACACTAATGGAATACTACTGTAACAAAAATAGAAACCTAGTTTGGGAGATATAAATCTTCCATTAGTTCAATGTTAACATCCAATTCTCACTGGATTTCTACCCTGCCTCAGTCTTTGATAACCTTGAAATATATGAGTTCACACGGAGGTACATTTTTCTCCTTTGATTGGTCATTTTATTTTTTTCGAAATCTTCCTTTTTGTCAAAGAAGAAAATAGTATCTACTTGCAGTCATATATTATGTTTGAAATATTGAAAACTCTTGCTGGCTTTTTCAATTATCTGATTATGAACAGAATAAGGACATTTCTTGTGACGTAAGAAAAAATTAATATGCTAAATGAGGTACCGGCGTGACTTTCTCAATCAACTGGTGCATAACTACTGAGTACTACTCTATATGCATTTCAAAATGTACAGCTCACAGTTACAAACATATGGTTTATTATATGATTTCATAGATCAATAAGTCGATTAATGAACAAACCGTTACATGTGTTTCCGAGTATCAGTGGATACAAATGCTTCGTCCAAAAAGACGCTGATCACGTTGTTTATGAAATTTAATGATAAGCTATTCACTCGATATGTGGTAATCAAAAATTACAGAGTAAACACATTTTTTTCGATTTTCGACTTATGATGAATTTTTTTTCAAAAACAAAAGGTTTCAGTAATCTTTCTCTTGAGGGATTTTGAAGTTTGAATATTTCTGAACATTTTGTTCCTTAATCACTGTTTACCTGTCCGTATTTGGGGTATACTTGTGCACAGTGATGTTGGAGCGTTCTGTTGCAACATAGATCATGTGATGATTATCAACACAGATAGCTCGCGGGCAATCACCCGGTAAAGGCAGGAGAGACAAGAACTGGCCGTATTGGGCAAGGATATGGACCTCGTGACAAACCTGACCACAACTGACACTACTACAAACAAAGATGTGTCCCTGGTCATCAGTACAGATTCCATAAGGAGTATATACGCCTTCAGAATTGTGCCCAGAGTAAGAGAACTGATGCTCCCCAAATCTGTTTACCACAACCACTCTACCCGCCTTATAATCCGAGGAACAAATGTCACCATTTATGTTCTCAGTGACATACGAAATGCTTTGATAGAGTTTTGTTCCTACGACATCCATCTGAATGTCCCTGAGTTTTGTGCCTTCCTTGTTGTACGTAGACAGCTTCCATTCCTTGTCTTTCATCATGCCCAGGATAATGTTGTCATTGATAGTTGAAAAGTAAACGCACCACGGCATCCACTCTTCCGTTGTAAGGAATGGCGTCTGTGAGATTCTCTTTCCGTTAAATGTGAGTTTGTAGATGGTTTTCATGTATCTCTCTGTGTAAAGTAGATCTCCTTGTTTACTGATTGTATGATAACCTGTTTTACTTTCACATGTGTTTATTGTATGTAGGAGATTTCCATAAAGATCAAAATGGATAAGATTTCCTTTTTCATCACTGGCCCAGATTAGTTCTGTCGATTTCATGGATAAGTGAGTTATAATTTTTATATTTGAAAGAGTAATTGTTTTGAATTGTTCAAAGTTAAAGTCGCAATTCTTTAAAGTGCCATTGGAATTTACTTTTCGAGATGGATGTTTTGCTATCTCAGATTCAATGATTTGTTTTTCCTTCACCTTAAAGAGTTGTTGAATTCCTCCTTTTATCTTATCGATTTGTTTGCCTACTTCATCTCTTATCCTATCTAGTTTGCCCATTTTCCCCCTCTCCCGATATGGAACGACATTGTGATTTGCTTTTTTCTTATCTTTCAAATGAATGTCTCTACATTGATGACACATCTTCTGATTATATGTATTGCAAAAGAACTCTGAATACTCCATACAAGTTGCACACTCTATGAAATGTTGAGCAGTATCTAGAATACGTGATTCAGCCATGCCTTTTATCGCCTAAAATAGAAAAAAAATATTTTTTTAAAAAATATTGTTACTGAGTCAACTGAACAGCTAAGAGTATATAATTTATAACAAGTGCACCTCAAAGCGAAGAATCTCCTCACAAAATAATATATCTGTAAAGCAAGGCAGCATTTGATATTGTTTCCGACGCACATAATTAATATGCAACCAGGCGCTTTTCTTTCTATATCCTTTTGTACTCTCTTAAAGATTGGAGGAGTTAAAAGGAGTACACGACATAACTTATTCACATGTTATTGTTTTAATTGATCGAAAAACAACTGTGTGATTATAATTGCTTAATATTTACGAAGACTTCACTAAGGAAAAACAACAAAAATTTTGTACTCTTCGAAATGTGTCGAATTACAGAATTTATTTTCATATCCACCGACCTCAAGTGATGTGCTTAAAATACTTGGTTAGCTCAAAAATGTTGGAATAGCGAGACCTGGTAGGCTTTTAAAATGTAATTCCATATCGGAGAGTAAAATGGGGAGTTTGCACTTTGATCCAAAGTTTATTTTCCAAAGTATTAACGCTGGTACCCCAAAATACCCCTCGCTTCAATTTACTAATTTACTAACGAATAGCAATTAAACTGGAGTTTAATTTATTCCAATGTTATCGTAGGATTAATCATCAGAAAATCGTTCAGTTGAATAAACTATGTATTGTAATTATAGCATCCTCCTTACATTCACATTTACACATTTGTTAAGTACGAAATTTTAAAAGAATGGAATGACCTTTATACAAACCATCAATCCTGTAATATACTTACTTCAATTCTCAAATCGAAATTGTTGGGGCATCATATTAGTCTCTATTACCCCTCCATTTTAAAACTTTCTAGCACCCTCCATTTTTTCCACTGAGCGTATTCCATAAGATTATGTTTTATCGTTGTAATACAATGCAATTCTCCGAAACTAAAGCAGATGACCTGCTCTTAAAATCCTATTTGATTGTGATGTGAATGTATACTCTTGTGCAAAAGTTGAATATAAAAGAAAAAAAAAAGTCTTATCTACAAACCAACAAAACAAAATATGTACCCATCATCTTAAAAGTATAGTATTTACATATCGATTATATTTAGAATTAACAAAAATGTATTTGAAACAGAAAGAACGTAAAAACGTACAATTTTAGAATCCATGCATATGCAAATCAATTAAATTGCGCACCTTTCAAACAACAGTCGTTATCATTGACTATTTGGTGCACCTGATACATGTAATATCGCAGCACTTATAATTCTTATCTTGAATTCAACGGCGTAATGTAACTTTGAATTATAAATATTGCAGGGTACATAATCATTTGTGAGGGTTATTTGATCGGTTAGGTAGCCTTTTGAATGAGATGCAAGTAAAAAAAAAACTGTGTTCTAGGTTAATGAAACGTTACTTTACCAAGAAAAAATATACAGGTTTGGAGATATAGGCATTACACAATTATTTCAAATAAGAATAATTCATAAAAACATGCACATATGTACACTGTATACAGGGAAAAGTGGCTTACGTAATATTCATGTGATTATCTTTCTATTTGAAAATTATGTGAAAATCATATGAAAAAAAAAATATAAATATATATGAATAAAAGTTTATGTGATCATGATATTCACACAAATCTTTTTTTAAACATTCAAGTGAAATTTTCTTTGCATATTTATGAGATATGCCGTTAATGTTAAATTCACATGAAATTTATGTCAAAATCACATGAAGTTTTCACATAAATTTCACATATCTTGTATTAACACCAAAATAAATTTTTGTACATGTAAATGGAGTTATCTCTATTTTGATGTAATTTATTCCTTGCATATTCAGGCGTAGGAATTAGTTAAACTAGTTTTATGCAGTTGAATTTTTGTGTTATCTAATTACGCATTCAATTTTTGATTCTGATTATTACAATGTTTTTTTTTCTTGCACAATTGAAGATTCTCAAGATTTCAAAAGAAAAAAGAAAATAAATGCAAGGATGAATGGAATAAAATTTGACAATATCAAAGATTGATAATATCAAAGATTGATTATTTTAAAAAGATGATTCAAACAGTAAAAATTATTTAAAGAGTCCACACAGACCTCTGAAAACGGAGGGATCAGGTGTCATGGAGGCGTAAGCATTCCTCGTGGACTAGTCACACCTGTCACAGTACCGAAAAACGCGTAAATATTTCATTGTACAAACCCCCCCCCCCCCACGCAAGTGAGTTACGGCTACATATTGAGGATTCTATGCAAAATATTTATAATTAAATTTCATAATTGCTCTACCTACCGCACAGAAAATGTTAAGACTTGTTTTCTAATACATTCTTGTTACCAACGACATGCGATACCCAGTACACATTATGACGTCATACTATGACGTCATCGACCTCTACTACACAGGTTTATAAGAGACATCAACAAAATCGCTTCGGCGCAAGGGCAAACCTTACTTTGTTTTACAGAAAAAAGGTATAAAAAGACGCAGGATATTCCAAGGATTTAAGATACTGCTGCACAAATGTCGGCACTGCAATTGTTTGGTTACTGTTCATGCAGTTTTAAGTTTAAACAGGTTAAAAATTCACACTCCAGTGTAATTGTCCTAAATTTTTTATCGATTGAGAAAGTGCATAGGATTTGTGCAGCAATTTTATTACTTTTAAGAGTATTCTCCTTAATATTATACATTGTTTATTTTAAGTTAGATAGGATATGCCCTTGCGCCGAGGTGATTTTGTTGATGTGATTTATTACCTTGAATGGGAGAGATCAATGACGTCATAATATGACGTCATAATGTGCACTTGCATTAGCAAATTGTGGGTACTAAGTATGTATAAGAAAATCAATTTTAACTTTCTCTGTACATAAAATATACATCTTATGAATTTTTATTAGCTCATTTGCATAGAAATATCCATATTTAGCCTTAACTCACTTGCGCAGCAATTTAAATGAAAGAGGACAGTCAATATGCCACCCCACCACGGTTTTATTTTTTTCAAGTCAAAATCATTGTAACAAGTCATTGTAACAACCAAAGAATTCAAACGAGATTGTTGATATCCTTGTATCTTCATCTTATTTGTCAATAGCATGCCTTCGTTTTGAAAAATAAGTCTTGGAAAGGATTACAGTAGCAATAGGATCAAACAGCCCAACGCTTAATGACGGTCAATTTTTAACTCTTGCACTGTTCACAAAAATTTCGCCTTCAAAGTTCATTTACAGAAATTGCTAAGACGTTACGGATGATACCAAAACATTTAAAAACTGAGAAGGTCCTACGTCTAGCCTTCTATATCAAGGGAAGATCTGACTGAAGTTCTAGCAAATTTATAACACTATAAAAAGTGAAGCAGAAGAGATATCATGATGAACATAAAAAAATCATCATTGAAATGTAAAAGGTTTCTGTCTGTCTTTCATGAAAGAAATTATTTCTCTTTAACACCAAAGTAATCCACATCTTGTCATGCCTATTTGTCCAGCGTGAGCAATGTGAACTGTTACAATATTAATAAGTTAATTAGAGAAAAAAATAAGATCACTTGATTTTAATGCAGCAACTATAATTTATCTTTTGAATATTGCAAATTGTACAGAAAGAAAATATGCATTCAACGTCCTTATGGAAAAAAACATGCAACATACTCATGTCGTAATTGATATACAGACAAATTCTTGACAATAAGATCCCCGTACGTTCTTTTGTCGTACTAATAATTTCATACTATAAATCACAAGATGTCATTTCAATCAACCAAAAAGATTAAAATTCAAACGTGGATCAGATTCCTTGGAGGAATAAGCATCCCCTGTTGATTAGGAACTATGGTTTATTAACTTAAAAGGAATAGAAAATGACCTAATAAATACGAAGTCCAGTTGGGATATTACCAGGTAATAATTTAAAATCCATTGTAGAATTTTTTTTTTTCAGGAGTATATTACGAAAACTGATATGCTGATATGCTCAACCCTAATACTGGACGTTTGTTTGTATTAACAAAATAATGTGATTGAGTATTTTTCCAATGACGCTTGATTTTTGTTTAGTCTAATTTTTACAATAGAATTCAAGTAGACCAATGGCAAGATATTCAGATAAAGATATCAATTGTAGTTAATTTTATCATATAGATTATTTAGATTTGGTACCACACTCCCAATAGAAAAAGTTAAAATATTTGTTCTATAATAGACAGAATATTACATAATAATGTGTAACAAGTTCATATAAGATATTTGTATACTGAAAAGAAAAAGAAACGCATGGTAACATAATCTGGAAATATTTTTGATCTTTGATCGTCTGACTTTGTGAGTAATTATTACTTAAAGTAATGATTCTGTTTGATTGTACTTTAGCCTTAAAATTTATAGACAGAACTGTTCATTTATTCATATATTCATACTAATGTTATGAAATATTGTCATAATTCTTTGTATACAGTGTCAAAAGAAGTAGTTAATAAACTGTATTAAAACTTATATACCTATTGCTAATGTTAAAAAGGGATATTTATTTACACCGGTGTTCATGTAGCTGTGTTTTAATTTTGATATTCAAATTCCTATCAATTTAATCTCCTTCTAGTGAAACATATCACGAGACGACGATAAAATTGAATATAAACATTGTCTCGTCATATGTTTCACTAAAAGATTGAAATGATAAGTAATTAGGGTTCGGAGGACTTGTTTATTGGCTAGCATAGGGAACGTTCATTGTGAGAGCATTGTATTAGCTATATTAGTCCCCTTCCAACAAGTATAATCTGTTTAAGGAATCACTGTTTAGTAAGTATAGCACGCCAGGACTTCAAAGATGGTGCGAAACGTGACATTATTAGCATTACGGGCGACTATTTCTGTGGCATTTGAAATTAAAATTTATGTACAATGCTATCGTATGATACATAGAGGATATCTTTATTGTGTGAATTGATATTGGATTTATCCAACGAGTTGAAATGGGGTAAGTATTCGGGAGGCTTGCTGAGCGAATATTCACCATTTCAACAAGTTGGATCAGGTCAATATCAAATCACACAATTATAGATGTTCTATCTATCTCATACGAATTTTAACATAACTTTGAGACATTCCCTGCGAAACTACATGTATGATTGCTAATGTAATTGATGACATATAACTTTACGTAGCACCGTTAATGTTGAAAGTAGATCGTGATCAAATTTAGAATGTTTGCTATCTGCGTCTTTGAAAACATTATGTGACAATTGCTGGAGCTTTACATTAAACGAATTTCTGACTGAAAGTTGTAAGGATCATGGGATCGTAAAAATTAACTCTTTGTACTGTGGCAGTACAAAACGTGCTAGCTTGGGCCACTTGACGGACATATTGTAACAGATAGTTGATTATGACCTCCTATTATAATCTGTTCGAGTGGTGATAAAAAATCATTGATTAGATTTATAGGAAGTTTTTTTTTTACAAATTATAATACACTACTTCAAAAGGATTTCTTAGATATCCCTTTAAAAGGTCAGTATATTTTCTGCATAAAATGGCCCTGTAGATATACCAATTCATTGATCAACACTTGATTTTCCATTTGAAGCATTAAAATAAAATAGAGACTTAATGCTTTCATATCCTATTAAAAATTTCTCCTAAAAGAACAGGTCTTGGAGAACTGGCTTTTTGAAATTGCAATGTTCTTGAAATTTTAGGTAAACAGGTATAATTGAGTACTTTCAGTCAAGAAATATAATACGAGTGCACTCTCTGATCTGAAAAATAAAACATGTTTTTTTAATCCCGAGAAACAGTTCTACCATTTACTACGGTAGTTGCATATTTTAGATCAGAGGTTGGGCTCTATATTAAATATCGAAAAATAGCTTTTAAAATTTGCAGATTTTGTAGACTTTTTCAGCATATGAGGTTCGTGACATCATAATGCATTGACTGACCACAAAATACCGTCATTTTTGATGAATATGTAGTCGCCAAAATCTAAGTGATATTCAATGCATTGTTAACAAAGCTATGTAGTTTTTCAGAAATTCACAGGGCCAAATAAGGCAAAAGTGTGCCTTATTTTTATACAGTCGTTTGTTGAACGAGTACGACTGAGACAACCATATTTTTCGTCTTAAATGACATACATAGTGACGTAATTTTTACATTGTGACGTCACAAACAAGAAACAAAACTTTAATCAGCATATGCTGTTTGTAGTACTTG